GTCAGAACTGACTCACAGCTAACCCTCCCTCCACTGGCGCTCCAAGGCTGTACCTCATGTGAGAGGAGACGGCTCATCTCTCCCCCTCTCTGGATTTGAACCGCAGGGCAGCCTTTGAGTTCGCAGCATAACTCTACAGCCTACACCACCAGAGCCTCCTCATTCTTCATTAGTGTCTCAGTATTATGTACATCTCTAACACTGGCAAGAGATAAAAATGTATACATTTACCTCAAGACACAAATGTACACTGGTTCATGGACCGATGTCATACTGAAACCTTAAAAAAAGGCAGTTTTCCGTTTTGTCATTAAGCTACACGGGCGTTTTAAAGTGCTGAGGGATACCAGGGAACAATTAGGCACACATGTTGGAAGAGGGCTTTGAAACTGTACAAGGGGTTTGCGGGAGCTGGCTCACAATGGATCTCTAGAATTGACTTACATTTTTTAGGACTTTTCAGAGTTGGTTGCTAAACATAGCCATTATGAAAAATTAAATTGTAAAAATGTACAATTAAAAGCAAGGATAATAAGTCCTCAAAATTCATCTCTTCCTACTTACATTATTACATTTTATTATAATCTAAGCTCCTGAGGTTCTTTATAGCAACTGTATTAGTATGATGGAAATACAATATAATGAGCTTACTGCACATCTCTTCTTAATTCTATATTCAGTGATGCCAACTAGGTATTTTGAAATGAGCCATGGTGGGAGTATTTATACTATGAGAATTAGAAAATAACACAAATTGCTTTTGTGAGGAAGAGAATCCTGCTATACCTTTGGCACTACTGAACCAAAATACCAGCCCAGGAAAGATTTTAAAGTCCTACGGTTTGAAGTATGAATAAGGATGACGGAATAAGAATTGATGTTTTTGAGCTGTGGTGTTGGAGAAAGAGTGCTGAATATTCCATGGCCTGCCAAAAGAGCAAACAATATATGTCCTGGAGAAGGTGCAGAAAGAGTAGAGCACTCCTTGGAGGCAAAGAAGCTTCCTCTCAGTCTTCGGGCATGCTGTTAGGAGAGGCTATTCCTTGGAGAGGCACAGCATGCTTGGAAAGGTGGAGTCAGTGTAAGAACCAGATGGATTGACACAGTGACTGCAGCAATGGGCTTGAGTGTGTCAGAGACGGTGAGGACGGCACAGCACAGGCCAGAGTTCAGATCTGATGAGTCGTACTCGACTGGGTGGTGGCTAACATGGTGTAGAGCAAATTTTCACTTGGAAGATGAAGAAATTGAAGATGCACTGAAATATGTGCCTGTCTCTAGAAAATCATTCTCAGAAGTAAGAGTTGAAAGTGACGATAGTCTTTCTCAATTTAGGGCAGTAATTATGGCACAGATTCAACTGTAATTAGAAATATCAGCTACTAAAGTACATGTAATTTAATGCAACAGGCAGTGTACCATTCCTTTTACAGAATGCCGACTAGATTGACACTAAATTCCTGAGTCAGGGAGATTCCCTTCCTGTCAAACTTCTGGAAAGAGTAATGAATTTTCCATCTACAAGTGCTTACCTACTCATCAGTCTGCCTTCTGTCTCTATTATTTGATAAAAATTGTTCTAAGGCAACCAACCACCAACCTTTTTAGCTTTAGTTAGCTTTTTATCTTTTTAAAAGAACTTCAATAGCTTTTTAAAATTCCAGTCAACTCCAACAACTCTGCTTTATTTTTTTGTGGGCCACTTTCCTATTTCCTCCATTAAACTAAAGTGTTGATGTTGCATACTGTTGAACTGACCCGCAGCTGACCCTCCAGAGGGTTTTCAGAGGCAGTAAATCACATGGGAGGAGACTGCCCATCTTTCACCCACGGAGCAAGCAGCTTGTGGACTTGAACTGTGTGCCTATGTGCTGGTAGCACAATTCTGTATCATGAAGCCACCAAACCTACCCTCTTAAAAGGAACTAATTATTGCTATGTACTGTCAAGTTGGAACCAGCCCATAGCTGACCCTCCCGTGGATTTTCAGAGGCAGTTAATTGCATGGGAGACTGTTCAGCTTTGTCTCACAGAGCAGCTGGTGGATTTGAAAGCCCTGCTGTTGGATTAGCAGCATAGCTCCTACCACCAGGCCACCAGTTTCCCTAAACAGAAATGGAGCAGAAATCCTATGTCCTAACCCAAGGTCTGCAACGTCTGGCATTTAACTAGATGCTGAGTAATTGTTTGCTGCATGAGTGGCCTGAGTTTTCATGCGTTTGACCTTGAGTATATCTCCTGATTTCCCGGACGCCCATTTCCTAAGACCTTAAAAGAAGGTGAACTATATGAGAGACCTATTTCTTTAGTTGCTTCAGCTTGTCAAGAGCTCATCTTTAATGGTCTTGAGAGGCCTAAAGCCCTCATTTCAACTGAGAGTTAAAAGCGCATGTGTCCACTTTACTATTCAGACCACCTTTTGACTTAAGAGTTTTTCTTTGGTCCTTGGGTCGAAGCTCCCAAGTTATTCCTTTGCCTGATGCTGTTTACTGGCTCAAGGCCAGAATGAGTGACCTTGAGGAAGTTACATCACCACTTTCCCCAAGGTGGATGAATGGGAACTGCATAAGGTAAGCAGGGAGTGGTCAGAACTCTTAAGACCTATAAACAGCAGGTACTACATTCCCCCACTTGAGTGATACATATTTTATCTTCATAATGTTTTTCCCCTGGAGTTGATCCCCTTCAACTCCGTAATCATTTCTGTTGCTTGTACAGAATTCCCTCAAGCCTAAATTTTTTTCTCCCCCTAGAGCTGCAGAAATCCGAACCAAACAGTATTCCAGATGCCACTCTCCACTCCAGCATTACAGGATTTACAGGGAGGGAGCGATCATCTCACTAATGGCTTAGCAGCATCAAGATCCCATCAGTCAACAACATTCACGTTTCTGCTCTCATCTGGAGGTCCAAGCTTCTGATTCTCCCAGCTCATTACCCCAAACACTGATTGTTCTACATTCACTTTCTTGCTCACTTGTCTCCAGGAGGCGTTCACATCGTGGGTCAAAGTGCTCAACACAGTAAGGTCACCTCTGAAATGAGAAGGGGAAAACAACCCTTCTTGCACATCTATGTGAATAAAGAGCAGTCAAACGTGCTCACCTGAATGTTAACATTAGTCAGCAAGTCATTAGAAAGGCAACAAAATGATGGGAGGGCAGAGTTCAGCGAAAAAGTCATGAAACACAGCAAACACATGGGGCCCAAGTGGATTAAAAAGGTAATTAGTAGTGGAAAACAAGGTTGGGCTCCAGCCAAAAATTTGCCTTTGACAGAGAAACCAAAAGATGCAATACATGTTGGGGGAACCGAGCTGTTCTTTTAGAGGAGTTCCAGAACAAAGCAACAGTCAGTTTCAAAGTGCAGCTCAACTCCCCCTCTGTTTGTTGTTCTGCTCATAAACATACAAGCTGTTTCCTTTCATCTGCACAGGCTACACAATATGGAGAAGCCACAATGGGTTTAAACCAGATTTCTAAATGAAAGTGCTGAGCAGTGGTCAAGTCAGAGATCTTTTATACTGGGTAAGGATCCAAATGTCCTTGGCTACAACAAAAGAAAAAGAAGAAAAAAGTAAAAAGCTTTACCAGCAAGCCTTACCAGTGATAAGGAAAAAAGGAGATACTGTTTACCCAAACTGTTAAATTCCATAAGGAGTAAAGAGGTTTAATCGCCATATGGGGAATGGGAAAAATTTTCCACGGACGGCCAGACACAGGAGTCAACCCAGGGAAGGATGGGTGGAGTTGGGGAGGGGAACGATGCCAGATACTCTATTTGGACCTGAAACTGCAACTCCAAAGGTTCTATGAAACTACTTGCCTGAAATATTGTTTTGATAAATAAGCCATATCCTTGTGGAATTGAAATCTCCAACTGTTCCACTGGCACGGACATCTCTGCAGTGACAGCACATGCCCCAGATTGTGGAGTTAACTTGAATTAAATTTCAGATGTGGGGGAACTAAGGGAGGGGGTGGTGGCAGTGGGAGGTTTATGAACAGTATGCTGGGGCTCTGATGTTGTCATAACCAGATGGCTTCAACTGTATCATTTAAAACAAAAACAAACAGGTCCAAAATCACGTAATAATGGCAGGAGAAGGCCTGAGCAGCTTCACCTGTACCTGAAACCCTAATGGCTTTTTGTACCCTGGTGAAGCTTCACTGGAAATGCCACAGATAATGGAAAATCCCAGAAGAGATCTTTACCTTGTTAGAAGCTGGGGGCCAGGACTGCTGCCTTCCGCAAGGTGCATTCCCTGAACCACCAGTTCCTAACCCAAGTGTTCCGTGAATGAAGAGGAAAGAATCTCAACCCTCAGGTCCTCCAGGGAACTCGGAAGAATAGGCTGGGAGAGTCACAAGAAGCAAGCATTACTGCCAATTTCTTACCTAAGCAGTGCGGGTGGGAAACTTCCTTTTCATTTATGTAATCTGCAGAATACATTAAGCCATCTGTCACTCACTAGCTGTGTGATTTTGGGTCTGTCCCTGGACTTCGCTGGGTTCCAGGATTTTTCATTTATAAAATGGGAAGATGCTATTTACCACTTGTCTTAGTAAACCTGTGAAGCTGTTGAGAGGTTTAAATGAGATGCTGTACGTGCGAGTTTGCTGGAACTCTGAACTGCTGAGTAAACAGTTATTAGAGAAAAAATGTAAGTAGACTTTGCATGTGCTGATCTGTCTGGAAAGTGGAGGCATATGACAGGAGCCAGAACCCAGGTTAGGTGCTCCCACAAAATGGGGACACCTGAAATTTGCAAAGACCGATGTCCACGGAAGGGAAATGTAAGGTGAAAAGGTTAAGCTCCATCTAAGGACCTTAACCTTTGAGCAACTAGCTTAATGCATTTTCCACAGTAACCCACGGCCCCATCCTGATTGACACTGCTATGAGCAGCAGATAAGCAGCCCAGAACATTCTTGTGAACTCACAGGGAATTCAGAAATTAACTTTTCTGGAAACACATTGAGTTAGTAACAGAACCAGTCAGAAACAATAATTTCCCTTTATTTAATCTCCACACTCATATCCCCTTAATCTTTTTATATTTAGTTAGGTAATGGGAGGTGGGGTTGGTTCTGAAACACAAAGTGCAGAAAAGCTCACTTCCATTCCTGGCCTCGGAAGCAGAGACCTGACGCCTCATGAGATACTAAGGAAGGAGAGGCCAAGAGACCAGAGGTCACAAAGGAAACCTGGCATTATGAAGACGCAATATATTCCTAGGTGCAGACATTTCAAACACAATCTATGCAAGCTGAAGGCTCAAACTCCTTGAGGTTTTAAAATCCATTCAGCAAAGAACTCAGACCAAAGAGACGAGCCAGGTAAATGAAACAAAAGACCAGAGATACAACACAGTACAAAATAGTAATTATTTATATTTTCAAAAAGGAAAAAAAATTAACATTTGGAAGTTCTCCCCTGCAGGAAGAGGGGCTAATCAGAAGAAATAGGCCTGGTTCCTGTGCAGGCAGCAAGTCAGGCCCAAACGGCCGAGCAATCTAGGCTGGGCTTTTTTTCACACGGTATTAATAGACAATACAATTTCCTTTCTTTTTGTCGTTTGTGTGTTTTTTTGTTTTTGATTTTTTATTTATTTTTTTTTAGAAAAATGGGTGGGAGGAAGGAGGAGAAATAAAAGCAGAGAAAAATGCCAAAAAACATTTTCCACAACATCTAAAAACAGAGAACCATAGGTCTTGTCAAGACAGTATCAATTTTGGATGAATTTTTTTTTCTTCCAGTTTTCAAGACCAATAAAGATTTTTTGCAAAAGCTACCACATCAGAATACTCATCTTCCTGATCAAATAACCTCCTTCCCATTTTGCCTTCATTTGTCTTATTTCATAAAAGGATACGTTCTGTTCTTGCAAACAATAAGTGCTAACAAGAGAGCTCTTCTCAGAGTTGTACAGTGGTGAGGAGTTTTCACAACATCCAAGTTGGAAGGACTAAAATTTGTTTCTCTCAACATAAATACTACTGGAATCCACCACAAACTGATTTTTGAGGAATTCTGCAAAAATCCTTTCTTCTTTCCTTTCTCTTAAAACTAAATGTCCTTTTTTTTCCTTTTGCTCCAGGCACCTGAAGATTGTTCTGCTCAGTCAGATGCAGACAGGTTTCTCCGAAGTACCACCGTTGGGATGTCCTCGGGGCCAGTGCCTACACTGAATCCCCACAGTATCAAACTTGGCCAGGCCAAAGGGAACACAGTGACGCAGCAACAGGGTTTCATTAGGTTGAACAGCCCCGAGTCCTGGGCCCTTCCCTCCCCCCACTTCCCTAAGTTATTTAGTGCTGTTTTAAAAGTCTGGTGCCACAATGCAGTCTTTTCCCTCACAATAGAGTAAAAGCTCCACAGATTGCGCTATGTGGTGGTCGACAGCAGCCACAGTGGCTGCTGTTTCTGGAACACAAACGGAGTCTTACAGCAGGCAGGGTCTTAGGACTGCTTCAGGCGTTTGCGTGGGGGTCCCAGAAAAGGGCACTGTGCTGAAGCCAGAGAGCGATATGCCTCAGCCACCAAGTGTGGATGGGACACCACCATTGACTTCCATCCAGAGGTCTCCAAGACATCCGAAGCATGGCTAGGAGAAGAGACAACAGGTTATAAAAACGAATGACCAAAACGGTGCATTAAACAGCTATCCAGACAGCCTGATTAACAGTCCAGTGTTCTGTGTACACAAAAAACACCAAGACAGAGCCCTTAAATGCATGAGAATCGGTCTGTTAAGATAATGTGCAGATTGGTAACTGAGCTGTGGCCGCTGCAACTCTAAAAACCAGAGCTTTGAGCTGCTGCACTCTAAAATACAAAAGGTGGAATTTTCCTCAGGCTCTTCGCGCCACTGTCAATGTCCTTTATATTCACTGGTAATGCCAATAAAGAGAGTCCCTTAGACAGCTCTGAGATTACATCTGGATTTGCCATTTACAAGTCTGAAACCACAGAGCAGACAGATCATAGCCTGGGCCTGTCTAAGGGGGTGAAAAAAAGAGATGGGGAGAATAAGTACATTATGTTGAACGGCTAACATTTAAAAGGCACCAAACACGTGCCCAGTACATAATTTGCATTCAGCAGAACTGAAATTTATTGGCTTCTTCTGCTTTGACTGGAATTTCTTTACACAAAGAGACCTGAGGGACATTATTACTTGTGTTTGGGGTTTTCTGTGTTGAGGACTGTTCACTCATATAACTGGTGGTGTCTTTGATATGTCCTCCCCCAGAACTACTGTTGTGAGGGCTTTACAAGGCCTGCTTCCATCTCTGGCTTTTCCTTCCTTTATTACAGTATGCTCCCCATCAGTTAAGGGTGCAGAACATGCCCACCGAGAAGACGAGCTGTCACATTTTATCTTGGCCAGCTCAAATTATTTCAGAAAGTAATAAAGCTGAGTTGTCATTTAGGATAAAGGGGGGGAAAACCAGTTTGGTTTAGTTAATTCTTTTGTAACACAATAGTTAACAACATCATCTACTAATTACCTCTTCTCTTTGCCCCATCCTGTATTCTACTGTTAGATATGTTTTACTAACTCATTAAAAAAACCCAACACCCTTCTATTCCCCTAGAAAGCTTGTACAGATGTTATTATTTGGGACATAGAGCATTTTCAGGCCAGCAAGTTATCATTTTAATCAATTCAGATCACTATAAGAAGTACAAGACTCAGCTCACCAACAAGACTGACCCATGGAAGCTAAAACATGTCTGTACTGTCAAGCTGAAGGGGAAGATGAAAACTCTAGACTTAGCCATCAAAAGGTTAATGAAGCTACTTGCCGGCTTTACTCACTAATTCAAAGTCTTTCTCATTTCTCTAGCCGTTGCAACTATCCTGAAAGAAAAACTTTGAAGATGCCAACTCACTAGTTGATAAAATCCACCGCCTGAGTTTTCAACTGATCTGCACTGTGGAGGTCAGCCAAGATGAGAATTTCTGCCGCGTTCTCCACCGAGAGGTTACTGCAGAGGGCATCCTCACACATGACCTTTAAACGTTCCAGGGCATACTGCAAAACACAAGTGGACACAGTCAGAGAAGTAGCAGTAACTAACTGTTACTATCTTCAGTCTATATAGTAACATCATATAACTGATACTGGAAGAGAGATGCACAGACACAAAAAGGCTTCTACTGCAATTGTAATATATAATCATACAGCCTAATTATGATGTTTAAGTTTAAAATAAAGACAGTTAAAATAATTTGAGCAGTTACCATTCAGGTTCTAAAGTCCCCTTGACAAAAACGACAATTATGGAATAGATTATCTTAAAGCTTATCCTATCTCAACTATGACTAAAGTGTTTGTTACACTATCACCACTTACTCTTAAAAGGGGGCATTACTTTGCCTCACATCATCAGGAAGACTACACTTTAAACATCTGCAAGCCTTTCTTTCATTCAGAGCCAGACTAGGGTGATGCACAGTTCTTATTTCAACCTTTCTACTTAAGCATTGTCACTAGCCCAGCAGGACATTCCAACTGGTCTATCAGGCTGTGAAAAAGAGCACTGTGGTGACTTGCAGCAGCATCTCTGCCATTAACTGCTTCTGAATGAGGGTCAACCAAAGGCCTCCTTTTAAACAGAAGAGGATAAACGGAGTCCTATTTCACTGGGGTTAAGGTTAAGATTCTCAGGGTATAAGGACAAAGCATCAGAGATCCCAATCCAGTCTCAACTGAAAACTTTCCCATTTTCTAAGCAAAGGGTCTAAACATCCTGGAAAGAACAGCTCTGGGCTAAAGCTGGGCACATCTGATCTAGGTGATTAGTTTTGACACAATGGTACTATGTCCTCTCTGAGATTATAAATTTACTAAGGAATTTCAAGGATAAGGAGGAGGAAGGAAATGAAAGCAAGCACAAAATATAGTGTCATTAATCGAGTCACAGGAAAATGGTTTGCTTTGAGTATCCACAGTCTCCTTGTAGGTCCCATTGTAAGGCCTCAGAACTCAATCCCCCCTCCAGGCTGAACCATGGCAATCAAACCAAGACAATTTCATTTTTATGAATTCTGGGTGAGGAGGCATATCTGCTGGCTCTCAGATCTCCTGAAGCAAAAAAGAGGTTTATTGGTTTTGGTGCAGCTTTAATTTTTTTACATTTGAGTAACTAGAAAATCGTTTCCATGGAAAATATGAATGACACTAGACAAGCAAGGAATTAGTTGCTGATTTTGTTTTAAAAGGCTGGAAAAGGCTGAGTAAATGTTCCGTCCCACACAGAACATCAATCTTTTCTCAATACATTCTTTTAAAAGGACTTTTGCTGTGAATAGCTCTGATCCCTGCTGCACAATTAGACAAAAGTTGCCTTTCTTGTCCCTTTGGGGACAAAGTTTTTTCCCTTAATTACGTTTCTGAAAAACCTGCCTAATGGCAGTACTTACCCAAGAGACTGAAATTGTGTCTCCTAGGCCTGGCCAACGTGTTTTGTTTTGTTTTTGCTCTAATTACACATGTCCCCAGGAGACTGGAAAAGCTCAGAAGAAGCTGTTTCAACCTCTTGGGTAAACTTTAGATGTTTAGATCCTTCCATGAAAGATTTCTTGTTTTGTTTTCCTAAAGCTCACAAGGAGATGTAGAGGTAAAGATGTTTCCTAATGGCTTGGAAGCAAAGGCTATCTAATGGGAAATTCTGAATGGAATTTGTAAATGCACCCTTCAGTTACTTTTCATTCATAAATTTAAGGCATTGCTTTGATTAAACTGTTTTATCCCTTAGAAGTTTAAGTTAGCACATTATATGCAAGTCTGCATCCTAGGAATGGCCATTCAGACAGATTCCCACTCCAGGTCCCCTTAAAACAGCACAGAGGCTACACGGTTCCCTGGAAAAAGAGCAAGAATGAAAACTCAGAGACAAATAAGTCTCACTGCAGGTCCACCTAGGCCAGATGGGTAACTCTGAGCCTCAGTATCTTTGTCTAAAAAGTGAGCACTGGTATGATATTCATCCTTATTGGATTATCTTAACAGAATAAATGCCCAGTACACTTCACTGAAAACCAGAGGGCCAATACTGGTGGACTCACTAAAAACTCATGTTTACACTGGATTGTGTCTTCTATTTTCCCAGACCACTTCCTGAGTATTTTCCTACAATGAACTCTGAAAGTAAGTCGCTCTCATCAGAAGTGAAGTAGGTTGGAAGCATATGGAATGTTCACATAACTGTGCGGTAACGTCTTGGAAATGTGCTATAAAGGAGGTAGTTATCCTTCCAATCCTCTTCATCAGGATCACTGAATTAACTGGGTGTGTATGCTCCATCCTCCAAAAATACTCCAAAAAGCTCATCAATAAACACAAAATTTCCACCTAGAAACAGGTCATAGACACCGTCTGCATGAGCAGGGGTGCTAAAGCAGGTGAGGGAGATCATTCACAGGAAAAACTGGTGGGAAGGCCTGCAGCACCAGGTCAGGAGGATGAAGACGGAGCACCGCCAAGGGAGAAATCACCCTTCTCAAGGGTGTATCACCTTTTGGTGCTTTTAGGGGGGAAGGAGGGAAAAGGAATATTTAGACCCTTCAACATCCTTAACTCAACCTTTACCTGTAACATAGGAAAGGCTTCTAAGGTAGTAACCACCATTACACAGGGAAAATCTCTTTATTCCTCCTGTCCCCACCTCATTTTGATTCCACAAACACAGGCCTTGAGGGGGCAGGGAGGATACTGATAAACATCGTCTCCCAAGGTATACTTGGGAACACTAATTTCCAGAGGTGATTCCAGAGTTAACTAAATCAGAGAAAATGTTCTCTATTTTCCTTTAGAAAAAAATCACTGTGCACATTAATGTAGTAAAGATTCTAAGAAATAAAAATCCTTGACTTGGCTAGGTTAAACTAAGTGTTTCACAAATGGTTCCCTACTACCTAGTTCCTAATGATTTACTGTTGTTTGTAATTGAGTCAGAAAGGATTCAGAGCTGATTCTCCAGCTTTCTTCCAAGAGGTAGTTGGTGAATTTGAACTGTGTGCCTTTGCGTTCATAGCACAATTCCTTACCCCAGCCCACCAGAGCTTCTTAGAACCTAATGACAGTTTATCTTTTGTTAGGAAGTATGGCTTTCTGTATTATATAAACATTTTATGTCTTTGATTATAAGATGTAAATTTCTATTTTTCACACCTCAACATTTCTGAAATTGCTCACAAAGTATACATTTACTGCAGGGAGCTCTGGTGGCCTAGTGGCAAGAAGCTGCACTGCAATCCCGAAGGCACATAGTTTTAGGTCATCAGCTGTTCCAGAGGAGGGTGGGCAATCTTCTCCCGTGTGGTTAACTGCCTCTGAAAACCTGCTGGAGGGTCAGTAATGGGTCAGTTCCAACTCAACGGTACCCAACAACAACATACATTCACTGCAGTAGTCTCTATTTCCCCTACAAAGAGGTATTAATCAAGCATCTTCTAATTTTGAAAAAATTAGGTGTATCTCAATAACTACTTAGGTAAAGTTGAAAACACTAACCAGGATACTCAGTAAAATATTATTCCCTAACTTAGAAAGTTAATGATTTTAAATCAGTATAATAACCACGATCCAAACTTTAAAATTATCTGAATCTCTAATTTTACCATAAACCTGAGATGAAAAAATGAGACAAACTTCTAATTTATCCTCCTTTTCTTTCCATAGTTAACTATTTGCTGTCTGTCTGAACCAACTCATAGCTGCAGGCAATTTAACAGCTGCCAAAAACTCTCTTAGGGTTAACTGCAGAAGAGGAAACTGTCCATCTTTCTGCCATGGAGCCTCTGGGAGATTCTAACTGTCAGAGAGTTGCCTGCCATCTTTGCATAAGCAGCACAACTCCCTACAGACTAGGCCCCAGAGCTGTTTCATAGCTAAGGTGGTCATATAACCTATCATTAAAAATCAGGGCACTTCTGAGAATATGAAGGGTATACAAGTGGAAAAAAAAGCTAGGTTATATGCTCCTCATAGCCACATGAACTCAGAAGCTGGGTGGTTCTAACACTCAAGAGGGCACATTAACCCCCAGTCCCTGAATGAATCCTTTTCAATTCTTATCTCTCACCTTGTCGGCAGCTGCCAACAAATCATCAGCCATTTTGTCCAGGTTCGGAGCCTTCCCAGTGTAAATGAAGCACATCATTTCCTTAAACACTTCAGGCTCCACATCGTTGATTTCAACCCGATTCTATGTTAGGAATAAAAGGGAAAATGAGAAACATTCCAACAGAACAAAATCTCTAGACAGTTTTTCCTGATTTTAAGCTCTGGTGAGACTTGGAACATTTAAAACTTATCAAATGAAATACTTCTTTTTATCCTATTTGATTGTAATAGCCTTTTCTCCCATCTCTATGTATTACCTTTGTATTCTCACATACAAGAAACAAAACTATATTTGTGACTTTTTCTTCCCCCAAAATTTTCCAAATGCATGTCTAAAACCCTTGTCGAAACTACTCTGATGCTCAGTCACAATACTAAGGGAGCCTACTTAACCTAGAATTTGTCCAACCCCCGCCTCTGTTCTCAGAAGGTGAGTGCTGAAGAACTGTGCTCCACAAGTAAAATATAATTAGGAAAATAAGACTGTTGCCAAACTGGCAAATCATGTGAAATCTAGTTATTTTGCCAAAAAGACTTGTCTCCATTCTATTATCATACCTTTTTGCTCTCCTCCATTTCGTGTTCAAACATGGCACTGAAAACTGGAGAACGAGCTACAATATAAAAGAAGAGAAACAGAGTTAGCATACTGATCTTTTGGTTCTTCCAAGTTATGATGCATAATGAAGTGATAATTTTTCCCCTGCCATCTAGCGATACAAAGATCTCACCCTCAAATTAATAACAAACTTATACAGTTCCTTTCCTTCTTACATTTTCACTAAGTGATAATTGGATTGTTCAAAGGAGAAATCAGACATTACTTTAAAAATAATTTCCTATTAGCGCAACAATTCATATTTAAGGAAATTATTTAAATTATCTATGTTGAATGACAGGGAGCTCTGGTGGCATAGTGGTTAAGAAGCTGTGCTGCAATGTCAAAGGCCTGTGGCTTGAAACTACCAGTTGCTCAGCAGGAGAACAATGGGTAATCTCCTCCCAAGCGACTTACTACCTCTGAAAATTTGCTGGAGGATCAGCTATGGGTCCAGTTCTGACTCGATGGTAAACCACAACAACATGCTGAATGATAATCCTATGCCCTCTGCACAGATAAAGGGAGGTTGAAATGGAAAGTTCCTAACACCTAACCTTTTTCCTAGAACACAGACATCATTCTTTCTCTGCCTCTACAGATGAACAACAAGGAAGCCAAGAACTGGGCTCAGTGGTAACTACTATCTAGATAAACTGCATGTATGTTTATGAAAGTTGTCTGTTCTAAGCCACGTGTTCCCAATGAAAGTGATTATCATTCCCAAAAGGGAAGGAAAAAATTTAGATATTACAATGGTTTGTGATATTTCAAAGCTTTATAAAACCCACCTAACTTAGTATTTCGTTCTCTCTTTAGGGACAATTTAAATTTAGGGTTTTTTTTTTTTCTCCTTAGGGGGATAAAAACACTGCTTTAACAGGTTGAAAATTACTGTTAAGTATCATTGAGTCAAATACAATTCAGTGATCCTAGAGAACAGATATGAACCTTGTTCCTTCTTATGTCATCCTGTAACTACTGTTTGAGTTGCTGTGTCAATTCCTCTCTGAAGGAGAGGAATTCCTGAAGGTCTTCCTCTCTTTTAATGACCTTCCATCTTTTCCAGCATGATGCCTTTTTCCAAGAACTGGGACCCTCCTAATAACATGCCCAAAGTACAAGAGATGAGGCTTCATATCCTTGTCTCTAAGGAGCACGCTGGTTGCACTCACTCTAAGACTCATTTGTTCTTTTGGCAGTCCATGGGATATACAGTACTCTTCTCCAACACAATGCAAAGGCATCGATTTTTCTTCTGTCATCCTTATTCACTGTCCAACTTTCAGATGCATAAGAAGTAACTGAAAAGACCATCTCTTGAATCACCTTAGTCTTGCTGTAAGCCATGTCCACTTTATTCTAATGAAATTTTAACCATGAAATAAAGAAAATGATGAAAAAATATTCATTCTATTGAATAAATCAAAGGATTGGCAGAAAGGTGAGGCTTATGACCTTAACCTGACAGTGGAGGAAAAGATGATATATATGCATTAAACCTTTGAGCCAAATAGAATTTTTGGCCTATAGTTCATTTCAGTTTGAGTTCTGCCGTTTTCAACTATACATTCTGGGGCAAATCATTTCACCTTCTCAGTGTCAATATTTTAATCTATGCCAAGAAGTTATTCTCATTGTTCTTATCTTAGCAAGGTTACAGAATATAAGGCACTAAATATAATACAGAGTTGAAGACTAAAGGGCTAGGACTTTAACGAGATCGAAGGGTCCAAGGAAGCAAATATGTTTTAGGGAATCACAGGTGCAAGACAGAAATGGATGCTATGGGGGGTAAACAGGATCCCCTGAAGTAGAACCTGGAGCTTTTAGGTTGACTATGATTCATTATGACTCAAAACTTTGCCCCATCTTGTGCCTTTAATTTCCACTACGCGCAAGCCTATTATTGCAGTCACTGTGTTGATCCATTTCGCTAAGGGTCCTCTTTTCTTCTGTCAATCATCTGCTTTTCCAAGCATGATGTCATTTTCCAAGAACTGGTGTCTTCTCACAACATGCTCAAAGTTTAAATGAGATGCAATTTTATCACCCTTGTTTCCATGGAGCACCCTGGTTTTACTTCCTCTAAGACAGACTGGTCTTTAGGCAATCCATGATGTAGTCAATATTCTTTCACAACATCACAAAATTCAAAGGTATTAATTCTTCAGCTTTTCTTATTCACTGTCCAACTTTCACATGCATACAAAGCAACTGAAAATACCATGGCTTAGGTCAAATGAAGCTCAGTCTTTAAACTGCTATCCTTGCTCTATGACACTTCAGAACAATTTAATACATCTTTTGATTTATCTGCTGCTACTGTGGGTGTTGACTGTACACAAAAACAAAATGTCACCTTCCATCTTTTCTCCACTTATTCTGATGCTGTTTTATTGGTCCAGTTGTGAGAATTTTTGTTTTCTTGATGTTGAACTGTAAGCCTTAGGGAATATCCAGGCTTAAAGAAATGAAGAAAAGGGAGGCCAGACATCAGAAGCAGTCAGAACCAGGAGAAAGTCAGGAGAGAGGAGTTAAGAAATATGTGAATTAAAGAGTACCTCAAATTTAGAAAGCAGTAGGTCATGTAACTTTGGAAAAGTGCTTTAGTGCTATGAGGGTGAACTGAGGATAAGTGGGAGGAAGGACGCAGAAACGAGTGTGCTAACTCAAGAAAAAAGAGAGTAACTAGAGGGAGAAGTTGAAGTCGGCTTACAGGTAGGGGGTGAAAAGATAATAGAAAATGTGGAAGATATGAGATAAGGCGTCTAAATGGTAGAGTTAGGTTTCTGAGATATGAAAAAGAGGCAGAAAAAGAAAGTCTTCTTTGGACAAAACCGAAAACACGTCTTCCTCTGAGAACACGGGGGAAAATGCCGGCAAGGAAAGAAGTAAAGAGTTCCTTAAAGAAGGGTCTTGGGGGTGGGGGGTGGATTATGTAACAATAAAATAATTTTTTTTTCAAAGAGAAAAGTGAACTGGGAGGGTGGGTAGGTAGGAAAATGTGCAACAACGAATGACTGGAAATCCAAGTTCTCTATAAATTTTCACTAAAATCTCAATTAAAATAAAAAATAATGCAAAAAAGTCTTGTTGTTAGGTGCTGTCGAGTTGCTTGTGAGTCATAGCGACCCTACAAACAAGAGCCCTAAACCCCGCTCTCTTCTATGTCAACTTCATTGTCTCTGACACACCTACTCACACTACCCCAACCACTGAATTGATCTATTTCATTGAGGGTCTTCCTCTCCTGTGCTGTCCCTTGACCCTCCCAAACATGATGTCCCTCTCCAAGGACTGGGCCCTTCTTGCAACATGCCCAAAGTATGTCAGACGAAGCTTCATAATCCTTGTCTCCAAGAAGGATTCTGGTTTCACCCTCTCCAGGATGAACCTGTTTGTTCTCCCAGCAGTCCATAGTATATTCAACACTCTTCTCCAGCACCAGAGCTCAAAGGCATCAATTCTCCTTCTATCATCCCTATTCATTGTCCAGCTCTGACACATAGCACACAACTGCAAAGACTATGGCCTGGATCAGGCACACCTTAGTCTTCAGCCTGACATCATTGCTCTTCAGTATTCTGGAGAGGTCCCTGACAGCTGACTTTCCCAATGCAATTTGTCTCTTGATTTGCTGGCTGCTGGTACCCAGAGTGTTGACTGTGGAGCCAAGCAAATGAAAACTGTTAACAATCTCTGTCTCTTCACCATCCATAATGATGCTGCCAATTGGCCCACTGGTGAGGATCTTTGTTTTCTTGACATTGAACTTCAATCCATATTGAAGTCTGCAGTCCGTGACGTTCTGCAGCAAGCGCTTCAGGTCCTCTTCAGTCTCAGTAAGCAGGGTTGTGTCATCTGCATAACGCAGGTAGTTGTTGAATCTTCCTCCAATCCTGATGTCACATTCCTTCTCATGCAAATAGACTGAAAAGGTATAGAGACAGAATACATGCCTGGTGGACGCCCTTCCTGGTTTTGAATCATGCAGTGTCTCCTTCCTCTGTTCTGACGAATGCTTCCTGGTCCAAGTATAGGTTTTGCATAAGCACAATCATGTGTTCAAGTGTTCTGGGATTCCCATTCTTCTTAGAGTCAGTCACAGTTTATTATAATCTACACAGTTAAACACCTTTGCATAGTCAATGAAACACAGATAGGCATTCCTCTGGTACTCTCTGCTTTCAAAGAAGGGCCTTTATCTTCTCTTGCAAGTACTGCCAAAGTAATCTTTTAGGAGTTGGCAATAGGAGATATTAAAGGAAAATAGTGAAAGTCTGAATTATATATTGTAAGAAGAATGGGAGGCTCTTTACTGTACTGATACTACTGAGGGCCTAGCTGAGCCTAGAGACAAATAATCTAGAGAATTAATGACATCCTTTAGCATCACACAGTAGTGCCTTTTTGAGAGGAGGCAGTTAAGAGTGTACCAGATTGGGGTTTTGCCAGGCCTATGATGGAGCTGAGGTTTTTGGCAAGAAATCTGTTGCCCTGAAGGTTCATGAAGTGTCTTATGTTTTATGGTCTGGACAGAGTTTGTAGGTTACTGCTATCCTTCTACTGAGGTAAAGTCAATCCTCCCTTATTAGCTCCCTCCTCTATTGGTCTTTCGGGTCTTAAAGACTGAGAGGGACAACAAACCCTCCATGTCATCGGCTGCATTTTCAATTTTTCTAGTGTGTTTGTTTAAGACAACCAAATCATTCAGGGTTAGAGACTAAGCTTTATAAACTAGTCCTCCATCTGCACTCTTCTCTATTTACACCTCAAACTACCATCTGGGGTCTGGCAGATGTGGCTGCACACCCATTTCTATCCAGTGTTTCGGCATCCACTCTTCAGGTGCAAAGCCATTTGATATCCTATCATCAACCATTCCTTGAAAAATGACAGTCTACTAGACTAGTGAAAAAACCCAGAACTATATTTTTAAAAAGAGAAGCCTTTTTTTAGTTAGAAGAACTAATGTCACCATAATATATTTAGTTGCAATTTTTTTTTTTTTGTAGCTGAGTTCAAAAACAGGTTGAAGTTATTCAAATTTATACAGCCACATGGTTTTTCCTTGTTTCACCAAAACTAAAGCTCCCCAGGAGTAAGTAAATACCAACCTGCTAAGATAGCTTTATGAGCTTGGAATTCCTGGCCGGCAACACACAAGCAACAGTCTGTGAACCGAGAATTCTCCCACAGTCCTCCTAACTCATCCGCCAACCTGCATTCAGGGACTTTAACCATATTCATGGTATTCTGACCAGAAATGTTGACGGAGTCTTGTACAACACTCACCTGTGAAAGATAAGGAAATACAGACCAATGCTTTTGTTATATCAAGAATTTTCTTTCCAGCAAGAGAGATGAAAGGCTTCCTACTTGACTTTTACCCACTGCTGTAGCAAATTCACATACTAATGCTAGTCATAGCCTCTTGAAAACACCTCCACAAAGAAAGGCTTTATCCTTTAGATCAAATAATTTTCAATCTATTATAGTCATACCTATTCAACACTAACTCAAGATATGAGGAGAGTTCCCACAAACTTCCTTCTCTTCTAGCTTGTAATAAGCCCCTGCCCTGAAAACCAGGGCCAAGAAGCCACAGGAAAAAATTCCTGACAGAAACAAATTTTAACCCACATAAATCTACCTGATGCAGCCTTAAGTAAAAGGTTAAAAACAAAGAACTCCTAAAGAAACTACTATTTAAATGAAACTCTCTATGGGAAAAAGATTTTAATAACTTAAGCCTGTAAGCACTCTGCTCATTTCTGTTAGATCGGAAACAGAAAGTCCTTTCCACAGGGTCTGGTAGTTCCTCAAAATAGTTTCAGAACATGCTACTATTAATCCACTACAAGTAAAGGCTAGAAGATCTTTCCAGTAGTGGTAACTGGGAAAAACACCATTTACACTCTTAATTGTGACAACGACGTCCAAAATGACTGGCTGCAGCTAGACATGCATATATGAATTTAGAGGAGAATGATGATGATGGATCTATTGAAGAATCTAACCTTCCACTCTGACTTTGGCAGCAGTATTTTAATCAGTGAAATTAACTGTACAAACTAGATAAAATCAAGGTAATTTCTAGATTGTTAATTCTAGATTGTTGTCTAGGTATAGATGTTTTCACCATCACCAGGATCTCGCCACCAGAGTCTCACTCTGGTCTTCTCATCAAGGTCTTGCTTCTCAGTGTGCGAAGCACTCACTTAACTTCATCCCACAAGCTGCTGACAATTTGCAAGACCATGTGTCTGCAGTTAAGGTAGCTAGAGACCAGAGGGGGGCTAACCTAATAGCTAGAAAAGCCAACTTTTAAGATAACACTGCAGAAACCATATACCATTATAAAATGAATGTCAATTGTGGAACTAAATATATGACTGTGCATGCCAATCCTCCGTCTATAATCATTGATCAGCTTCACATCCAAATCACATTAGTTTAACGGGGGAGAAACCTCAAACAACAAAACACAGCAACAAAAAAAACCACACTCTCTCAAAATCATTGCCAAAGAGTCAGAACAAACTCAAAGCAGACCTTCCAGCAGGCTTCTGAGGCTGTTAATGACAATGGAGGAGACTACCCAGCTCCCTTGGAGCTGCTGGTAGATCTGAACTGACAGAGAGGTGCTGCCTTTGTGTTAGCAACCCAACTCCCCACTAGAACTCCCTTTACATTAGTTCAACAGTATTTAAATCAAAGCAGAATGTACAAACCTGGACTATCACCTTCCTACCCTTGCCATTTCTAAGCTTTAGAAGAGAATTAGGATATTCAGGAACATCCTAAATGATCAAATTTCTTTTCATCTTCAAGAGGCAATTAATCTCTTAAATGTAAATAAACCTGGGGGCAAAGCTAATGCCCCATCCAAATGACCAGAGTTCATTCTGTGCATGAGTAAAATACTTACAATCAGGTCAGAAAACCTATTAATTGGTTTTAAAACTGGCTGTTACTGGTTTTGAACAATTAAACAGTCAAGTTAATAGATTATGAATGTGCCTACCATTAATAACACATTTATTATCAGTTTATTATTTATTATTAACTGTAACAGCAATAGGCCAAGACCCAGATTCCAACGCCTGAGTCCCAACTGTCCTGTGTCGACCTCTCATTTGGTCCAGTCACTTGCTCATATTAACATCCTCACTTCTTGACATAATTTTAAGACTCAAAGTATAAGTTTCAGTTTCCAGTTTTATGTTATAACTTCAAAATACCAAATTGGGGGGGGGGGAGAAAATACCAATTAAATCCAACTTCCTCACAGGAAAAGGAAAGACTCTCCTGAAATGACTGATAAAGGGAATGGAGAATGCTTTTGGCACTAGGTTCCTAGTTTGAATTAAACCAGGATGACAGGAGCCCAAAGTCATTAAATGTACTTGATGGCAATTTATCAGGCTGGGTAAAATGAATTGATGGGAGTTAAGCTGGATTTCATTCACATACTCAAACTATAGCTACCACTGGCCCCTCAGCTGGTCAGAAGTATTCTAGGTAGGAAGTAGGGCCTGAAGACTATACCGCCTCTCTCTGGAGCAATTTCTTTCCCTAGACACAGACAGGAACACAGCAGGAAGGAGAATGTACCTTTACTGTCTGAGACAGGCTTGTTCTGTAGATATAGAGATGCATGAAAGTCTCCAGAGCTCTCAATGTCTGGCACCTCTTCTCAACATTAAATACGCTTAATTAAAAATAAATTTTAAATGGCATTCACAATGAGTCTTCAGAGCTCAAACTTTTAACTTAAAAAGGGACTGTTTTCCTGTAAATGATGATGCTAAAATGAGGCCATTTTGAGAAAAATGAAAGGTTTTTTTAAAAAAAAAATTCTTGTAAAGCTGACTATGGAGACTCATTCAGAATTAGAGTGGTAAAAATGATGTGACTGTGACATTTATGTTGTCTTATAAATGACTGCATGGAAAATATCTCAAGAAGACTGAATAAACCCCTGAATATGGAGTTGTATGAGCCTTATTTTTAACATCAGTTCCTTTTCTAAAAAATAAAATTTCATTAAAGATGATTGTTACCCCCCATTCTTACATTTATTTTTTTCTACACATAAAAAGTCAAAGAAAACCATTCAAGTATACATATTTTAACTTCTATACAAAAGCAACTAAGAAACAAACATAAACTCTATATAGATTATATAAAGCAGCATTAGTTCTAATAGCAAAGACTACCAACAACCCAAATGTTCATTAACAGGAAAATGAACAGTATTCAAACACCAGATTAATATTTACAACACTGTAAATGAGTGAACCATAGTTCTTTCATCAAAATAAATTTTAAAAACATAAAAGAGCTCTGGTGGTTTAGTGGCAAGAAGCTGCACTGCAGTGCCAAAGAAAGGCTTGTGGTTCGAGGCCACCAGCTGCTCCAAGGGAGCGGGATGGGCAATCTCCTGTGTGATTTACTGCTTCTGAAAACCCACTGGAGGGTCCGCTATGGGTTAGTCCGACTTGACGGTACACAACAAAAACAAAGATGTGGAAAAAGAAAGTCCCAAATGAGGACACACATATTAATACTACTTGAGGAAGCTCTGGTGGTACAGCGTGTTGAGATGCTAACCCAAAAGTTGTATGATTTACAACCTTGGGAACCCAAGAGAGGGTCAGGTATGCACTGGAACCAACTCAGTGGCAGCACATTTTTGAAAGGATCTAACACCATTTTTATAAAGCGCAACAAGTAAACCTAAATAACTTATTATTTAGGCATAAAAAAATAATAAATATAGCAATGAAAATATAAAATTCAAAACAGCTATTATTCTCTGAATGGGACAACAGGTCTAAGGGAAAGGGAGACGCATATACACAGGATAGTTCTATGTTACTGATGATATGCCTTGTTAAGAGTTTGGTGAAGTCTTCTAAATTATTAAATTTTTATGTAACTATCATGTTAACATGTTAAATGGCTATTTTTATAAGTCAATAACAATATAACAATTCAATCCAATATACCCATATAATCCACATTTTTTAAAAAATAAAAATATGTATAGATCCATTTATTTAAAATTCCATAAAAACATATATCCTTGGGCTATAAGGAGATACTCGAAAGAGTACAAGGATGTCTTAAGAGTTAAGTCATTTCTGGAGAATGATGTATTTCTCTCTCAGATTTTAACTTTAATTGGAATATTACAAAGAGGTACTAGGATCTTTTACCTGTCAAAAGCAAGTATATACAGAGCATATGCAGTGGAATATATGCATTATCATCATGAAGAACTTATTTTATAGAAATACTTGGATAGAAGGGTCTACAGAAGCTTACACATTTCACAAAGATCTTGTACGGTTAAAATTTTTAAAAGAGAATGTACTTTAAACATGCTTGTTATCTTCCTCTTCCATTACCAAAGAAAATGCTCCCTGTCAAGAAAAGTTGGTAGCATCTGTGCTTCCTTGGTGAATGGCAGTCAGCTTCACTTAGTGTAACACAGCAGACAGACACGGAAAATGGAAACGCCGACGTGGCCCTGACACTCATTTGCTACACAGTGTTAGGAAGAATTACCTGACCTCTAAGGCATTGCTTCGCTCCCATATATCACAAAGGTAACAAAATTAACCTAGCTCAAAGGATTGTGACAGGGCACAATTCAAAGAATGCTTTGAAAATACTTCCAAATGCATTAACTGAGGGCTATGAACTTGGAAGAATTGCCACATTTCCTAATAAGACAAAAATAACACCATTTTTTTAATCTCTGAGAACTCAAAAGTTAACCTTATGCAGTTCGTAACAAACAAGACCACCTATTTGGCATCTGCAGACAAAACCACCCATTTTGGTGTACCTTTATAATTTTCAATCTAATTTCATTCAAACATTCATTAGCTGTAACACTATTAAAATAAAGCCCAAATATACAAATGTGTGATTTTCAGCCTTTCACCTTAACACTCCCTAGTAGCCTTTGCAAAAAGCAAAAAACCTAGCCAAAACAAATCCTACACTATATGAGGCAACTATACTCATGAGCATCAGAGTAGCACAGAAGTGCCTGAGCCAAAAACTACTGAGGAATGGGGCTATAGGGTCTCATATTCATAACTAAAACTGATAAATGTGCATGAACTGTACATAAGCATCTAGATTAAAAGGAAATAGTATCAAAACAATAAAAAAATACAATGTAATATTAATTTTTAAAACTGCTTATACATATGCCGCTGATGGAAGAGAAACTACAGGTCCAAGGGATAGAGTTTGGAACAAAGGATAATCTAGCTACGAAAAGTGCTAAGAACTCAGATGATCTGCAGACATTTTTCAAACCCACACATTTAATACACACCCCCATGCAACCGCCTTGCTACACTGAATGCTACTAAGTCCACAGAGAGCCTTGGAACAGTAACAAGTCTCACTAGGCACAAACCCAAGGATAAGAAGCAACACTCAGCACCTGTGGCCAACAGAGAAGTGTGAGAGGAACAGATGGCACACCTGGTTCGATGGTAAAAAACCGATGGCATCAGCAGAACCCAGCAGACGTTTCCCTGTTCAACAACTCCTCATTTCCAAAGTGTCATCTCACTTCCCTTCTAAGTCAGTAAGGCAAATCTAAATTTAACCATGGGACGTCTCCTGAGAGAATTTCATACAGGGAAGCGGAGGCAGAGAGAACTAGAACTTGGCCTTGGACTTAACCACAGGATAAAAGATTGCCAAGTGAAGGGCAGGCCAACTGGTTTCCAAATCAAGAGTGTCAATTACAGGGGTTGGAGCAGCTGGAATGGATTTGGGATAGAGGCTATGAGAAACGGAAGAACTCACTGTGGATGCAAAAAATATGGCAATAAAGGTTATGGCATTGCCGAAACACCAAATTTTTAAAAAAAAAAAAAAGGAGGAGGAGGGGAGAGGGAATAACAGCCATATTTAGAAGAGTTCCTTCAGAAAAGAGTTTGAAGATTGGCTTTAGTTTGCAATAGAAATGGACCTTTTCCACAACTTTTATGCCTTTCTGAAATCTAGTCTCTTTGACCATCAGAGGTGCACTGTGAAGACAGCACTGACTCTGTAGGAATGGGTTTTGGATCATGATGGCTAAGATTAAAGCTGTTGATCTGTGCCAATTTTTACTGAGAGCTAACTTCACACTAAACCACCTAACTGTTCTCATTTCTTCATCTGGGGAACTAAGTCTGATTTGAGACTGGCTGGACTTAAGAAGGAATTCCAATTTACTCAGATATAAAACAATTGCAGCATTTGGATTGAGATGTTCCCACTCAGTATTTCCTTTTTAACTTTGCATTTTGTTTAAAAGGAAACTATTAAGCAAGCCTTATTTTCTATATTCAGCATGCTATTTCAATACCCTGTACTTCTAAAGTTTTCCAATCACCAGCTATTAGAAATGATTCTGCTCAACTGCCCAAAGAGCTGTGAGCAGGAAAAGAAGTCAGCTACCTCAGGCCAGGTCTCTCCTACAGAAAAGAAGAATCCTACTGCAAACATTCCTCTGCTCCACGCCGCTGAAACTGCCCTTAATTCATTGTGTGAGTGAGCCCATTTCCCCAGCACATCTTTTACTGGGCCCTGGGAAATCTGCCTGTACTCCACCTCCTTTTAAGTTCAGTGGCTACTCTAAGTAGGGCTGCTCAGAAAGTGGCTCCCAAATCTGATGCAATACAAACAACACAAATGTTCTTAAATGACTGGAGGTTTGAGCCATATATTACACAGTGCACATGTACTTATGAATGTACTGATAACACATTCGTAATTCAGTGCCTTTGAAATGACTATAGGTATACCTCAGAGACTGAGGGTTCAGTTCCAAGCCACCACAATAAAGTAAATATTACAATAAGGCAAGTCACAAATTTTTTCCTTTAGTTTTATGTAAAATTATATTTATGCTATATTGTAGTCAATTAAGTATTCAACAGCATTATGAAAAAGTCTAAAATATTTTGAGAATTACCCAAGTGTGACAGATAGTAACTGAGCAAATGCTGTTGGGAAACTGGTGTTGCTGAGACATGCTTGACAAAGAGTTGCCACAAACCTACAATTTATTAAAATACACAGTATCTGCAATGACAATAAAGTGAAGGATAGTGCAATAAAGTATGACTACAATCTGTATATAGTTATTAAAGAAACCACTTTCTAACACACCATCAGTTTAGGAATTTGACTTTAGGGCATTCCCTTGTATCTGGAAAAGGCTTTAAGATCTTTGATTAAAGAACTGATAACTTAACTATGGGTTATAAATCTTGGCATTGTTTTGACTCTTAAAAAAAAAGTAAGATTCAGACTTTTCTATTCCACAATTACTCCACCAAGACAAACTGCAGACAATCAATTCCTGAAAGCATTATCTATTTCAAAAAGTAGGAGGGAAGTGATTGACAGTTTCACACACACGGCTTTCATATTCAAAGAGGACGCAGAAAGTGTAAGGAATAAACACATGTGGAGTTGCTGGCCATCCTCTTCACTGTGAGATACGGTCCTTATAAATGCTACCTGCAAATACCCACTGTGATCAAGCCACAATTCTGACCCAAGCAACCCAAAATACCATGACAACACCCATCTTTGTCTTACAGATCATAATAAGTAGAAAGCTGAGAGGTTAAAAATTCTTGAAATCATGAGACTGTTTTCAGTCAGTCACGTAGGTAACATTTGCACAGCACAAGCCCACTAGGGGACTGTCCTTGCCCTCCATCCTGTACACAATTAAATGTACTGACACCCATCTGGTCTGGGTCTAGTCTCACAGTGAGGTAAAAGGACTTACCTCACAGAAGAGGGTAAGCTTGTCATCAGGAAGAAGCCCGTTGGCCTCATCCAAGAGAAAATCTCTACGGATGAATTTTTTGAATCCCCAGTCCTTGCCTTGCACAAATCTATACGCCCGTTGACTCTCTAAGATTGGGGGGAGGGAAAGAAAGGACATTATTTAGGGCTACTAAAAAAAACAGATCAAATTCATAACTTGTCAGATGTGAAAAGTAAATACCCATAGCTTTGGTTTCTTCTCCCTTGGCATTCAGGATGGAGAATTTGAATTTTGCCCGAACTTCACTCTTTGGACAGCTGACCAGTAACAGGTAAAGTGATAGGTAATCTTTGCTTTCTTCATCTAGACCTTTTGGGTTTACTCGTAAACACCTGCCCAAAACAGATAAGAAAAAAAAGTATATTGAAAACATCCATTTTACACCTCATCAAGTGACAGGATGGAATGACAAGATGGATCTGGGACATCAGAATCACTAGAGGGAGATGTTAAAATAAATAAATAAATAAAATCCCAGTCCCTTTACCAGCAGATTCTGATTCAGTAGAATGACACTTGGAAACCACTTTTCAAGTCACCCTTTAAAAAGTAAACAATAAAAATAAAAGGAGGCATTCTAGAAACCCTAAATCTCTTTGTCATAACTTGCCAAATCACTTACCATTTTCCCCCCTTAAAATATTTTAAAACCCCATCTAGCTTGATGTAGCCTATCTTCAATCTCAGAAAGGCAGACTTAATTCTACTGGGACTGTGGAGAAACCATTGGAAGGTTTATTTGTTTTGCTTTGTTTTGTTTTTCTTAAATCTCATCTGATCACTTTAATAGCACACTGGGAAAGACAAGCATTCCAAGGAAATATGTGAAGGGTATACAATGTTTTACAATATAGCCATAATATTTTAAGATTGGAGGAAGCAGTATAGAGGGTAAACTCCCATTGTATAAAGCAAAGTTCTAAAGCTAGGCTTCTAAACAAGGTTAGAAATGCCAATCTGCTACCAATGAATAAAAACAGAATTCACTAAGTTCAACTGACTAAGTTGTAAATGTCATTAACTGAAGAGCATGTGTTCAGTCACTGCTTTACAGCACATATACATAGGCCATATGTATCCTCAGGCCCTGCCAAAGTCCCAGCACCTCTTTCAAACAGGTGGTTCAATGCAATGACTCTTGAGGGAGTGCATAAACCTCAAAGATCACGATGCTGTGATCTATGCTGTGTGAAGGATGTGGATGTAAATACAATGCCTTAAGAAAAGCATTTCTCTCAGCAATTAATATATGTCATCAATAAATACTAAATGAATAAATAAACAACTCTTACTAAAGAGTTTTATTAAGATCCAAAAATGGTGGTTCGCAAGATTTCTGTTCTTAAGAATAGGTACATGCTTCTCTTTCACAAAGGACACATGGTTTGGATGGCATTGACTCAGACCACCCACTGTACCCACTCAGGGACCTAGGTCGAGACCCTTCAGAACATGCAAGATATAGCACTGGCTAGAGAATTAGTTCTGAGAAAGCTAGTGCCACTTCCAATCATCCTTCAGCCACACGGGAAATTAGGCTTGGGATGGCCAGTACTGTAGAGAGAGGCTAGAGAAACAAACAATCACTAATCTAACTACTCAGTTGTTAGATCTAAGGACCATGAAAACCCATCCTATAGTCTTAGTCATTCCAGTTCCATGTGCAAATAAATCCTTTGTTTTTTAAAAAAGAAAATTACCAAAATTATTAAAATAGAAAACGTTTTATCATTTCTATTTTACCACAATTTTTTTTTAAAGGGGGAAAAAGATTCCTTGATCTCTAGAAAAGTCAGAAAACTGGGCAATAGTCAGCCCTTATTCATGCGTGGCTGTAACCAGCTAGAGCTCAGTAATCATGATCTCCTTCAGAAGGACATGCACTGACCAGTTTGCCATGAAATTGCTCATACCAGTACAGACATACTTTACAACTCTGGCCCTCTTTCCTCAGCTCTGGTGGCCTAGTGGTAAGGAGATGCACTGCCAATTCAAAGGCAGGTGGTTCAGATCCACGAGCTCAGCTGGAGAAAGACTAGCTATCTCCTCTATTACAATTTCTAGCCTCTGAAAACCCACTGGAAGGGTCAGCTATGAATAGATTCTGACTTAACAGCACATAACATCACTGAGTGTGTCAGCGATCATGAGGTTGTAGAAGGGTGCGGCAAGGTTCCAAATGTTGTTCAGAGTTGCCAGAAGTTGTAGATGATGCAATGACACAAAAGAACAATGGCACCATTTGTAGAGGCTCAGGGAAAAGAGGAACACCCTCAACAACATGGACCGACACAGTGGCAGCAACAACGGGCTCCAGCACAGCAGTGGGGGGATGGCACACAATCGGGCAGGGTTTCACTCTGTTGTATACAGGGCTGTTATGAGTTGGAGCAGACTAGACAGCAGCCAACAACAAACAACATAGCCATTTAAGTTAAGTGATTCCTCATATTCCTTTTGAGCAGCTAATACATGTCAGACACTGTTTTGCATTCTAGTCAATGTCTGTAATGCCAAGGAGGGAGAGCAAGACAACTTTTAAGGGGAGGGGGAAAAATTACAGCTAGATATATTCTTCCTTACCATTTCAGTTTATCATTGGCTCCTGATGAAAAGGTTGAACTTTTAATGACTTCACCCATTTCCTCCCGGCAAAAACTAAAGTTATTGATGGTCCACATGTAGGAGAATTTCACTACCTTGATCTGTTGACAGAAAACCAGAGATGAATTAAATAGGAAGTAGGTAACCTACCTAAACAAAAAACAGGATGATGGTCAGCCAACCACTTCCCCCTTCTCCCTTTGCAGAAGTCCCACTGGAAGAGCAGAAAGTTCAACTTATTCTTTTATTCTTGTCTCTGATCCCTCTATCCATATTAAGAAATCAAAAACTGACCAATTATTCTCACAACTTTATAAAATTTCTGAAACATTACAGGGAAAGGAAGGAAAAGAGAGTAAAGAAAGCAAAAGAAAAAACCCAAAAGTGAAACTACCCTCTTTGCTCAGTTCAGTGTTTGATCATTGAAATGTTATTGCCATTGCCTACGGATATAAATCTCTAATTTGACTTCTCCTTGACTTGCTCAACAGAGAAACCTTAGAATCAAGGCTTCAAACCAGTTGAGCTGGTTTGATCATGGCTGAACAGATCAGATTTTAATAATTTACTGCCCTCAAGTTAAAAATGACTTATAGCTGGCCCTTCACTGAGTTTCTGAGGCTGTAAATCACACCAGAAGAAACTGCCCATCTTTCTCCAGAGGAGCTGCTAGTGGATTCAAATGACTAGAGGGCCTTTTATTATTTTTAAATTAGCAGTGCAATTCTCTGTGGATGGTAACTGAAACAGGAAAAACTGGTCAAAGCCCTGAAATAGAAAGATGTCTCTTTCAGGAACCTGGTAAGTGAGACAAGATTACTGGCAGAACTGTGAAAACAATACACATTCAAAGTGTCACTGCCATTTTTTAAGCAACACAGTTTCTGATTGTGCTCTAAATCAGACTGGTAAGAGATTTTGTTGCTATGCAACAAGTACATCCTTGTTTTTGAAGAGAAATATTAACTTTCTAGAAGGGCTTCAACCTATTATTTTCCCCATTCTAGTTACCCTTCTTAAAAAGTTAGGTCTGTTCTGATTTTGTTTCCTAAGCCATGACTGAAACAAGACTGGTTAAAAGTCCTGTTTAGAAGCCATTTCCATCATGGGGTGTAGGCTGACATTGTTTCAGAGTCCCCTAATCAATGCCACTGAAAAACAATGGTCTCAATGTACCTTATTTATCTGCTATTTAGCAGCTATAGCCCAAAACCCAATGCAGAAAAGAGATCCATATTCCTGTTCTCCACCAAATCAAGATTTACAGGGTGAAAGATGAATTTACCTGTGTGTAGCACCAGCTCTCAGCTACAGGGCCACTCGACATTTCTGCCGGAGGTGGAGGACTTGGAACCCTTGACATCGCCAGTTTGAAGGTTAAACAAAATTTCCAAATTCAGGGGCAAAGATTTCTGCTTTCTTTTCACCCTGGTCAGGCACAAGAAACAAGAGGACTTTATAAGATTAATGATATACTATCTTAGTATTTCGATCATTCTCTCTCCAGCTCCATTTCTGTCACCGAGTCCATGTTTTCCAACTACTGAATCTTCCTCTTTGTTCCCGACTTTTGCATTCCAGTCACCCATTATTATCAATGAATCTTGGTTGCATGTTCGATCAATCTCCGATTGTAAAAGTTGGTAAAAAATCTTCTATCTCCTCTTCCTTGGCTCTGGCTGTTGGTGCATATATTTGAATGATAGTGGTATTCACTGGACTTCCTTGTATGCGTATAGATATTATCCTGTCACTGACAATATTGTACTTCAAGACGGATCTAGCAATGACTTTTTTAACTATGAAAGCAACTCCATTTTTCCTCACTTTTTCATCTCCAGAGTAATATATCATATGGTCATCTAACTCAAAATGCCCCATGCCAGTCCATCTCATCTCACCAATGCCTAGTATGTCAATATTTATGTGTTCCATTTCTTCCTTAACAATATCTAATTTTCCTACATTCATGGTTCTCACATTCCATGTCCCAATCACCAGTGTCTGCTTACAACTGTTCCTCTTCCTTTGTATTTCCATACTTGAAAACTCAACCTCCTTTGCCTGCTATTTCAGAAGTGGATGGCCAATCCTTCTTCCTAGTCTGTCTCAATGTGAATGTTCAGATTTAGAATGGGAATCCCAGAACACTTGATCGTTCTAATGCAAAACTTATATTTGGACCAGGAGGCAGTCGTCAGAACAGAGCAAGGGAACACTGCATGGTTCACAATTGGGAAGGGCGAACGCCAGGGATGCATCCTATCTCCATACCTTTTCAACCTATATGCAGAACAGATTATCCGGGAGGCGGGGCTCTATGAGGAGAAATGTGGGGTCAAGATTGGTGGACGATTTATCAACAATCTGTGTTATGTGGATGACACAACCCTGCTTGCTGAAACTGAAGAGGACCTGAAGCGCCTGCTGCAGAGGTCAAGGACTACAGCCTACAATATGGATTGGGGCTCAATGTCAAGAAGACAAAGATTCTCACCACTGGACCAATTGGCAGCATCAGGATGGATGGTGAAGAGATTGAGATTGTACACAGCTTTAGTTTGCTTGGCTCCATAGTCAACAGTCTTGACACCAGCAGCCAGGAAATTAAAAGGCGCATTGCCATGGGAAAGTCTGCTGTTAGGGACCTCTCCAAAGTGCTGAAGAGCAATGGTATCTCTTTGGAGACTAAGGTGCGTCTGATACAGGCCATGGTCTTCGCAATCACCTGTTATGCATCAGAGAGTTGGACAATGACCAAGGAGGATAGAAGGAGAATTGATGCCTTTGAGCTGTGGTGCTGGAGAAGAGTATTGAGAATACCATGGACTGCTAAAAAAACAAACAGATTTGTCCTGGAAAGGGTTAAACCGGGTGGCTCCTTGGAGGCTCCGTCTAACATACTTTGGACATGTTGTGAGGAGAGACCGGTCCTTGGAGAAGGACATCATGCTTGGGAGGGTGGAGGGACAGTGCAGGAGAGGAAGGCCCCCTATGAGGTGGATTGATTCAGTGACTGGGATAATTGGGATGGGAGTGTCAGAGATGGTGTGACTGGCACAGGACAGAGCAGAGTTTACGGCTGTTGTACATAGGGTCGCTATGAGTCACAGGCGACTCGACGGCACATAACAACAACAACAACACCTTAGTATTTGCTTGGTTTTCCATAGACTGGGAACTTTGTCTTCTGTCTGGAATGCTGATCATTCAAATGACCCCTTACTACTCATGTTATATATTTAAATAATATTTTAGAGAAATCTACCTCATCTTTCTAGATTATCTTCCTCACTGTTGTTCTCTATGGCTTGATTATAATCTGACTTCCTAATCATAATTATGTTACCCTATTTTTATCCTCTATGCTGGGAATAAGGGAGGCTCTGGTGGCCTAGTGGCAAGAAGGTGCACTGCAATCCCGAAGGCATGCAGTTTGAGTACACTAGCTGCTCTGTAGGGAAAAGCAATCTCCTCCTGTGCAACTAACCAGCTCTGAAAACCTGCCGGAGGGTCAGCTATGCGTGGGTTCGAACTCAATGGTACACAAAAGCAATGCTGGGACTAAAAAACTGAGGAAGAATAGAGTTACATTCATAGTAAAAAAGACCATTTCATTATCCTTCATAAATGGCAGCTAGTGTAGCTACTATTATCTTGGTTTGATAATCCCCATGACACCTCCCCATGATGCTGCCGCCCTAGATGGGACCAGTTTCTAGCAGCTGGCTTTCCAGGCTTCCAATTCCCAAATTTAAGAAAAGTATTGCATTCATAGTCTCAAAGAACATTTGAAGATCTATACTGAAGAACAATGCTGTGAGTGACAGGATACCATATATACAAGGAAGACATATTATTAATAAAACCATAATTCAAATACACTAACCACTAAAGTCAAAGATGAAGAAAGTGAGGACTTTTACCCACTTTTGCAGTCTGAAATTGATCGAACATGCAACCAAGTTGCATTAATAATGTGTGGTTGGAATGCAAAAAATAAGAAACAGGAAAGAAGTGAGAAAAGTGCTAAGTGGAAAATAGTAACTTGGTAACTGAAATGAGGCTGGAGATTGAGTGAATTTTGTACATTCAATGACTGATTCACTGAAAATACCTTTATTACACAACACAAATGTAAACAATATACATGGACCTCACCTGATAGACCAGATAGGAATAAGAGTGACTATATTTATGGAAAGAATTGCTGGAGAAGCTCACCATCAGCAGTCAAAACCAGCCCAGATAATGACTGTGGAACAGACCATCAACTAACTCACATGCAAGTTCAAACTGATGCTGAAGAAAATGAAAATAAGTCCAAAAGAACCAAAATATGTAACTTGAGTCAATTCCACCTGAATTTAAAAACCATCTCAAGAATAAGTTTGAGGCACTGAACTCTAATGTTTGAAGATCAGATGAGTTGTGAGATGACATCAAGGATATTACCCAGGAATAAAGCAAAAGGTCATTACAAAGATGGGGGGGGGGGAGAGGGAGGAAAATGTGTAACAATGAATAAATGGAAATTTAAAAAGATAAGTTCAAACTTGTTAATACATTTTCTTTTTTTAATATAACTTTTATTCATTCATAGTTGTACATTTTCTTTCTTTTTTAAAAATTTTTTAAACTTAAATTTATTATTAATTTCAGTAAAAATTTACAGAGACTTTGGATTTCCATTCATTCACTGTTGTACTTTTCTCCCCTCCCAACCCTCTCCCCCAAAGTATACATTTTCTTAAAAAAAAACACAAAAAAACAGAGGAAGAAAAGACCAAAATAAATATCAGAAGAGACTGAAAATTGCACTAGAACATTGAGAAGCCAAAACAAAAGGAAGAAATGGCAAAGGAAAAGAGCTGAACAAACTATTTCAAAGGCCAACTTGAGAACACAAGGCAAAGTACTATAATGAACTGTGCAAAGAGTTGGAGTCAGAAAAAAAGAGACGAACTTGCTCAGCATTTCTCAAGCTGAACAAACTGAAGAATAATTTCATACCTTAAGTTGCAATATTGAAGGAAGCTATGGGCAAAATACTGAATAATCAAGGAAGCATCAGAAGAAAATGGAAGGCGCACACACACAGTCAACTTTACCAAAAATAAATGGCTGACACAGAACCGTTTCAAGAAGTGGCATATGAACCAATGGTAATTAAACAAGAATTTCAATCTGCACTGAAAGCACGGGGTGGGGGGGAGACCCCAGGAATTGATGGGCTACCAATTGACATACTCCAACAAAGTGACGCAACCCTGCATCTGCTCATCAGGCTGAGCCAAGAAATCTAGAAGACAGTCACTTGGCCAGCTGATTGAACAGATCCCTATTTGCTCCCATCACCAAAAAGGGTGATCTAAAACAATGTGGAGATTATTAGTATCACTCGTATCATATGCAAGCAAAATCTAGCTGAAGAGTAGTCAAAGATGGCTACTGCCAGAAATTTAAGCTGGATTTACAAGAGGCTGTGGCACCAGGGATATTTCTGTTAATGTCAGCTGGATCTTGGCAGATAGCAAAGACCACCAGAAGATGCGGTTCAAATATACCAGATACTGTACTGGAGAAAGAAGGACAATCTCCTCTTGTATCAGTCAGATCTGATTTGACAGTACACATACAAAAAAATAATAAAATAAAAAAAGAATACCAGAAGAACATCTATATGTGTTTTATTGACTAAGCAAAGGCATTTGGCTATGTGGATAACAACAAATTACGGCTAACATTGAGAAAAATGGGAATCCAAGAATTGTGCTCATGCAAGACCTTCACCTAGACCAAAAAAGGCTGTTGTCCAAACATGGTTTAAAATCAAGAAAGGTATGTATCAGGACTATATCCCTTTTCCATGCCTATTCTAAAGATGACACAACCCTGCTGGCAGAAAGTGAAAATAAATGAATAAAAAGAAAAATAATAATTTCATTTTAATTTAAAAATCAGGATTCTAATCACTAGATATGTTCACTGATTGTTTAAAACCCACAACCACCAATCCAAATAAAAACTCAGTATCTCTCAGAAAGAGAGATAGCAAAATTAATACCGGACACACCCTTGCCCTTGACTCCATTCCTCTGGGGCACCAGTAATCTACTCCTAAAAGAAAAATAAAGAAAGGGAAAAAAAAAGAAAGAAAGAAAAAGACTTTATCCTTTTAAACTATTGTTTTCTATTATCCAAAAGGGAGCTCTAGTAGTCTAGTGGGAAATTGTGCTGCAATCCTAAAGGCATAAGGTTCAAATCCACCAGCTGTTGGACAATATCCTCCGTTACAATTTACTGTCTCTGAAAACCTGCTACCGGGTAAGCTATGGCTGGTTCCTACTGGATGCTATACAACATGATTATCCAAAAGGAGCCCTAGCGGCATTATGGGTAAAAGTATTCAGCTGCTAACCAAAAGG